TCTGGATTTATTTCTAGAAAAGCTTCATGATGAGTTCAAAAGCATTTCTGTTATTTCATCCCATCATGCAAGCAAATAATGAATGAAATGAGTTCATGAAACAACGGATTTTTTAGTTTATCGTAGTTTTAAATAAAATCTACATAAATATGTCCTCTGGGGTTTTGGAGCAGGTCCCAGAAGGGCCACTCCATGTGGCTGGTGCAGCACTGTGCCAGAGACATCCTGGAGGCTCTCGCCTTCCTCCACAGGGAAGGTTACGTCCACGCCGACCTCAAACCGCGCAACATCCTGTGGAGCGCCGATGACGAGTGCTTCAAGTTGATCGACTTCGGCCTGAGCTTCAAGCAGGGAAACCAGGTTGGCAGTTATGTTGGAAATGGAACATAACCGGAAGACGTTTGGGTTCATTCAAATTCTCCCTTCCTTTGTCAGGATGTGAAGTACATCCAGACAGACGGGTACCGAGCCCCTGAGGCGGAGCTCCAGAACAGTCTGGCCCAGGCAGGGATGGAGGGAGACTCTGGCTGCACGGCTGCCATCGACCTCTGGAGCCTGGGCGTCATCCTGCTGGAGATGTTCTCTGGAATCAAGCTGAAGGACACGGTCCGCTCCCAGGAGTGGAAGGTACTGCTGCAGAACCCAATTCGACCCGGTTTGTTGATAACCCCGATGCGTTCAGATCTCACCTCCTCTGTTTCTGCCCTGCAGGACAACAGCGTCGCCATTGTCAACCACATCTTTGCGAGTAACGGCGCCACGTGCCCCGCCATCCCAGTTTACCACCTCAGAGACCTTATTAAAAGGTAAGCCTGGTCTTCTAGCCGCTGCCTCCGTCCTTCCATACCGTCTGCAGTGAACTCTGTGTGTGCAGCATGTTACTCAACAATCCAAAGCAGAGATGCACCGCTGAAGCTGCCCTGCTGAGCCCCTTCTTCAGCATCCCCTTCGGTAGGTGGAGACCTTTAACACGTCTGCAGTTCCCTCCCTGTTCTATTAACCTGTGAGCGCCTGTGTGTTTCAGCGCCACACATCGAGGATCTGGTTCTGCTGCCTTCACCGGTTCTGCGTCTGCTCAACTTGATCGATGACAGCCACCTGCACAACGAGGAAGAGTATGAAGGTAGCATGTTTTTATGCTTCATGAGATTAAAGGAAAACATCTGCAGTAAGAAGTTGGTTCCACAGCAGAAATGGACTGTAGAGATTATAAGTTGTGTTTGGTGGGAGTGGAGGCTCCCACTGTGGAGCTGGCAGCTGTCATTCAGAAAAAGAGAGACAAATCTGAACGCTGCAGAGCATTTATTAAACTTTACCATTGAAAGACTATGGAAGAAAAACAGTCTCATTGGAATCTGCTTTTATTTCGTACACAGAATTTTAAACACTGAATTTTCTTAGCTCTAAATTTTAACCACAGACAGGGTTCTTAAAAGTCTTAAAAGGCATTGAATTCTTCAAAATAAAACTAAGGCCTTAATTGGTATTAAACTGTCTTAAATCAGCCTTTCTTAGGTC